ACACCGAATTAGGAGGAGTAGCTATACCCCAGAGGAGAGGATCAAAATTCAAAATGGCCTTAATAGATTAGAAAGCTGGACCAAAGCTAAAAAAATGAATTTCAACACTGAGAAATGTAAGGTACTGCACTTAGGATGGAAAAATGAAATTCATAGATATAGGATGGGGGACACCTGGCTTAGAGACTCTGTGCAAAGGGATCTAGGAGTCCTAGTAGACCACAAGTTGAACATGAGTCAACAGTATGATACAGCAGCTAAGAAGGCCAATGCAATTCTAGGCTGCATCAATAGAAGTATCCTGTCTAGATGCAGGGAAATAGTGCCACTTTATTCTGCTTTGGTCAGGCCTCACCTGGAATACTTTGGACGTTATCACACAGGGGAAATCTGTTGGTTAATCCACACAAATCCCAAACAAAAACTGAATTTGCGCCTCACGATTTCACACGACATTGCACAGAAATTGGTCAGAAACTGGACAGAAGCTGGTATTATCCGAGATCTTTTTTAATTTTGGGAGTTTAGAGAAAATGCATTTGCGAAATTACAGTAATTTCACATTTACTGTAATGTGAAAAGCAAATACGCACAGACAATTCTCTTTAAAAACCTGGAGGAGGGCCAAGAGAAGGAGGAGGAGGGGCCTCCAGGGAGGGAGAGTCCCGGGCTCCTCCCATGAAGGCAAGGCAAGGCAAGGCAAGGCAAGGAGAGGGAAGTTTGGGATGGAGGAGAAGTTTGGCATTTGGAATGGAGGGAAAAGGAGGGGAAAGAAGGCTTCCCTGGCAACAGCTGTGGGTGGATGTGAGTGCAAGTGTGGGGTGTGCTTGTGGAGCAACTTGGAGCTCCATCTCACCATGAAGTTCTGCCCTACATAGGGGAAAGGCTTATGGGGGGCATGGGGGCTACCTCCAGTTTCCCCTTCTCCTGGGCATCATCCAAGGCTCTGGATCTCTCCAGGGAACACCCAGCCCTTCTGCCTTCCCTTCCCTTCCCTTCCCTTCCCTTCCCT